CAAGGTGGGCACTGCTGCCTGTCCACCCTGCCTACTTCCTCCTCCCAGACACAGCTGCCCTGTGCTGCCCTCCGCAGAGTGCCAACCTTAGTGAAATGGCCTGCCAGGTAGTACTTCCCAGGCTGGTGGGTCATTCTGCTCTGGGAAGTTTGGCTCTGGTAGCTCCCTCCCTCTGGCCCAGCTCCCAGTGGCCTGGGGCTGTTGCTGGGTCCAGCTGCCCTCCAGGGCAGGAGCCAGATGCCCTGCAGCTCTCTTGTCTTGGAATACCCTCCTCCCCATGACCTCACCTTTAACCCAGCTTGACTTGGTGTCTTCTCCAGAGAGCCTTTTCTGATCCCCATGGGCTGAGTTAGGACCCCAGAGTATCTAAACTTATACTGACCAAAATAAATAAAATGTGAGCCACATGTGTAACCCACATGCAATTTGAAATTTTTTAATAGCCACATTTTTTAAAAAAGTCAAAAGAAACAGATGAAATTATTCAAATGATTGTTTTATTTAACCTAGTACATTCATAAAGTCACTTTTTTTTTTTGAGATGGAGTTTCACTCTTGTTCCCCAGGTTAGAGTGCAATAGTGTGACCTCAGCTTACGGCAACCTCTGCCTCTTCAGTTTAAGCGATTCTCCCACCTCAGCTTCCCAAGTAGCTGGGATTACAGGCATGCACCACCACACCCGGCTAATTTTTGTATTTTTAGTAGGGATGGGGTTTCACCATGTTGGCCAGGCTGGTCTTGAACTCCAGACCTCAGGTGATCTGCCCCTCTTGGCCTCCCAAAGTGCTGGGATTACAGGCGTGAGCCACCATGACCAGTCATAATGTCATTTTGGTATAAAAATTATTAATGAGATATATTACCTTTTCTTTTTGGTATGAAATCTTCAAAATCTGGCTTTTACATTTATAGCACATTTTGAGCTGCACAATCCACATTTCAAGTCCTCCATAGCCACATGGGGCTAGTAGCTACCATATTGGTTAGCACAGCCCTAAAGACAGGGAGTTTATAAAGGTTGAAGCTCAAAGTTTGGCACCAGACAGATCTGGCAGTCATATTCTGGCCCTGCCATTTATTAGCTAGATGAACTTTGGGAAGTTGCTAACCTTTCTGAGCCTCAGTTACTTCAGCTGTGAAAGGGATTAATAATTTCTTTTTTTTTTTTTTGAGACGGAGTTTCACTCTTGTTACCCAGGGTGCAATGGCGCGACCTCGGCTCACCGCAACCTCCACCTCCTGGGCTCAGGCAATTCTCCTGCCTCAGCCTCCTGAGTAGCTGGGATTACAGGCATGCGCCACCATGCCCAGCTAATGTTTTGTATTTTTAGTAGAGACGGGGTTTCACCATGTTGACCAGGGTGGTCTCGATCTCTTGACCTCGTGATCTACCCGCCTCGGCCTCCCAAAGTGCTGGGATTACAGGCTTCAGCCACCGCGCCCGGCCGGGATTAATAATTTCAATGCCAGAGAATTAAACGAATGTGTGTCTAGTGGCAGGAACAGAGGAAGTACTCAGAAAATGGTGGTGATTAATTTTCTAGTACCCTCTGATGTGCAGGGGTATGTACTTCCACTGGATTGATTGCGAATTCAAGGGCAGAGGCTGTATTCAATTCCTCCTGCCTTCCCCAGTGTCCAGGGCCTGGCTTGGTGTGAGCGTTACTGCTTGCTGAATGAAAGATTAAGTCCTTGAGTCAGGAGTGCTCCCCACCCCACCCTGCTTGCCCAGGAGTCAAGGGCCCTTGTGGCTGGGAGTCAGGAGACCACTGACTACCTGTAGGTGACCTTGGCAAGTCACTGCTTTGCTGAGGGCCTTGGTTTTCTCCTTGGAAAGATAAAAGGGAGATAAGAGGGGCCCTGTCTGATGTGTTTGGTTGAGTCTCTGCCCCGCAGTGACCTTGGGGGCTGTGGCTGACTCTGTGTCCCTTGCTTTCCCAGCCAGTGGAGCGAATCACTTCCGTCCTTCTCCTGGCTTTCCTGTATCCTGGACTTTTGCACAATTCAGCTCCCTGCAGTTAAAATTTAAGAGGAAAGAATTCTCCTGCATCTTAGAGCAGAGAGGGGATGGAGGGTCCTGTCCCTTCTCTTCTACCAGTATCTGCTGATTTCCCATTATAGCAGTCCAGTGACAGACACAGGGCAGGGATTCTCCCATTTTATAGGTGAGAAAATTGAGGCTCAGAGATGTCAAATAACCTGCCCTTTGTTGGATGGGCTCCTCTTTCTTTCTTTATGAGACTTGGTCCTGGGTTGAGTCTTGTCCCTGTGCCTCAGTTTCCTTGCCAGGGGAATGAAAACAGTCAAGTAACTACAGTAGTAATTTGCAACTGATAGGGGCCATATGATCTTAAGTGTCTCTCCTGCTTCCTCCAGCTTGATTTTTCTGGAAAGGGTTACTGTCAGGTAAAGTGGAAAGTATCTAGTCCAGGGAACCAGCGTTACTGTGCAAGGGTAACCTTGGACAGTCACTCCCACTCTGAGCCTCAGCCTGCCTATTTATAAGATGAGAGATGATATTATCACACAAGATGCTGTGCAGATGACAAACAAAAGTACTTTGCAAACTGGAAAGTGCTAATAGAAATGTTAGAAGAAGAATAATAATCATTGAAATAATGAAAATAGCAGCCTCATTTTCTGTGTGGGCTCATTGACCTGACGTGAATTTAGCCTTTTGGGTATAAATGCAGAATGATGTCTGGGAACTTCCTGCCTTGGTCTTTGGAGTGTAGCCTGGATTCTCCTGGGAAAGTGAGAGGCTCCATCTGGTTGAGAAGGGTGGGAACGTGGCCCTGCCCCAGGGGAGGAGTGGGGAGGGCTTCAGCCTGGGGGAAGGAAGGAAAGGGAGAGGGCCAGGGAAGGAGAGTTGAACTAAGAGGATCAGAGAGGGCCTTGGCCATGCAACCCAGAGTCTCCTGCCCACAGGAGCCCGTGACTGGGAAGGCTCAGCCAGCAGGGGAGACTGAGTCTATTTGGAATCAAAATATTTGAAGGCAGGCAGTCAAGAATCTCTTAGCAGCTGTGCCTCTGAAACAATAAATTCATCTGGTGTAACTCCTGAGTTTTACTGGTCCTTTCACTCATTTCTTTAAATACATGTGTGGTGAGCTAAACTCAAACAGAGCACCTTGTGTGGCAAAGTGACTTGCCCAAGGCCACAGCCCCGGGGGGCCTGCGTGAGACTCCCTGGGGAGCTCCTGGGAAAAAGTGAATATGAAAGACTGGGGGATGAAAAGTCCAAAGGCAAAGGGTAAGATTTGTACAGAAGGTTGCCAAGGAGGACACTGGTCCTTCTGTCAGTCAGCCTGGGCAGATTTGTCTGTCTGCCCACCTTCTGTCTGGAGGGTAAGCATGTTCTCTGGGACTGGGAGGAGCTGGCTTCATTCTGCTCTCTGCTTTTCATCCACTCCTGAGCCTGGTGAGCAGGGGGAGTGATGACAGCAGAAGCTGTGTCTCGAGACACCTGATGAAGGAGGTTTAACTTGGAGAAGAGAAGGTTTGCTTTGGGCATGACATAAAGGGGCACAGTTGTATCTTGAGTTCTCTAAAGGGTGCTGGGGAGAGAGCCTAGCTTCATTCTCTGGAGGGCCTAGAGTGCATATGAGGACCCAGGGTAGAAGATCACCATGATGGAGCTGCACACTGGGAGGGAGGAGTTGGGGGAGGGAGGTGCCTGGCCCTGTGGTGTGTGACACACAGAGATGGAGAGCCCACTGGTGAGGCTGATACTGAGGGAATCGCAGCAGGGAAGGATGGAGGGTTCAGCTCAATCGGGGCTGCTTCCCACCTCGGGGCCTCTGTGCTTCCCAGGGCAGTGAATTCTGTAGTAAGGAGAACTATGGCCTGCACATGGTAGGTGCTCAGGAGTGATATGGAGAATGAATGAATAGTTGTGAATGCCTGGGGGTGGGGGTAGTGACTGGGGGGTCGTGGTCATATGGGTTGCAGTGGACCCATGGACAGAAATCTTTGGAGACCATGCTGCGGTTACCCGCCATTCTCTCCATGCCTTCCCCATGAATCAGGGACCCTAGAGATGGGAATGTCCAGCCCTGTCTTCATCTGCAAATGAGGCCCACAGCATGGGAGCAACTTGCCCAAGGGTACTTGCTGAGCCAGTGGCAGAGCTGGACTGGAACCCAGGCCCTCTGCCTCCCAGAATCCTCTGCGGCTTGAGGTCTCCACCTTTGGATTGTGTGAGGTGGAGGTGCCACAGTGGCTGAACTGGTTTTTGAGCCTGTAACAGTGCTCCTGGAGGGGAGGAGCAGGGCTTAGCTAGGTTTTGAGCCATGATCTGTGCCACAGGCCGCTTGGCCACCCCTGCCCCTTCCTGGAGCTCTGGTGTGCACTCAGCCTGTGCTCACACACATACAGCAAGCCCGCCTGTACACAGGCCCCGTCCCCAGTAGGTCCCCGGACTTACTGTTAAACTTACTGTTATTGTCACCAAGGCACATGTGGACAAATGTATACACAGACACCCTCTAGACACACTCAGAGGCACAGAGGATTCCCAGGAGACAGTTGGAATACCTCCTCCCGGTGGGGAAGGACGCCGAGTCCCAGGTGGGTTCTGCCCTGCGCTGCGCTGCAGGGGTGGTGAGGGGATCCGGCTCCGGTGGGATGGGAGGCCCACTGAGGCTGAGTCACCCCTTCTGACAAGGATCCATCCCCCTTCTTCTCTCCTCCCCCTCCCTCTCTCGCTGCTGAGCCCCCCAAGAGACTTGGCAGCGAGAGCGAGGAGGCCCGGGGCTGTCTGGGACCAGGGCGGGGGCAGCCGGGGCACTCGAGGGGCCTCCTGCGGCACAGTCCCGCAGTGGTCTGGGAACTGCCTGTGTGTCAGGGACCCGGAGGAGGTGGCCTGGGAGCCTGAGAGAGTGGGCGGGGGAGAGAGGAGACGGGCAGAGAGGAGGCGGAGGCAGGGGCTGGGCCGCTGCGAGCTGGGAGGCAGGCGCGAGCAGCGGCCGCCCCTGGGCTGGGCTCCGAGGCCGGAGCGGGGGCTGGCCGCACGTCGGGCGCCAGGCCCGGGGCTGTGGGCACCGTGCCCAGCCCCCGGCGCACGCCGAGCCGCCGCCGCCGCCGCCACCACCACCGCCGCTGCAGTCAGCATCTATCAGCGGGCGGGGGTGTCGCGGAACAGGCTGCTCCGCAGAGCCCGTCGCGACCCCGCGCCGCCCCGCCCCGCGGCCTGCCGGGCAGAGGAGCCGAGGGGGCCGCCCCTCTCCCAACCTGCCCGAGATGGGGACCCCTGGGCCCAGGTAGGCACGTGGGAGGGGATCAGGTGGCTCTGGGGGCCGGGGGCTTGCAACATCTAGGCCCGGCCTCCAGCCCTGGGAGGAATGGGGGTGAGACCGGGAACTGAGTTTTCTGGCTGTTGGTCCCCTGGCCAGTGTGGGGGAGGGTCTCTCAGTTCCTCCCCACCTCCTGGCCGGCAGCCTCCCCCAAGGCCTGGAGAGAGGATCGGGAGGCTGGGGAGGTGGGGGGGGCTGGTCTTGCTGTAGGAGGAGCGGTGCGTGGGTGCTGGGCTCCCACCGGCTGGCCCACTCTCTTCTCGGAGAGCACTCCTGCTACCGCCTCCGGAGGCCAAGGGCTCCCTGGATTTCTCTGGCTTCAGATGTTGCAGAAGGAGCTCTTGGCTGGAGCCTGGGATGCTGGCGAGCTCTTGCCCTCATCTGTCCTCACTATCTGGTTAGGGACCCTTCCCCGCTGTAGGCTTGCCTCGCCTCCCATCTCTCTTCCAAGTCCCTCAGAGCTGCTAGCAGGGATCTTAGCTCTGGGACTTCTGCAGCTCTGGCCTGGCATTGTCCTGGCCAGTGACTGTCCCCTAATCAAAGGGAGAGGGCTTGTGTGTCCCACTTGCGTCTGGCACCTTCACACTTGGGGAGGTCCAAGGGCCCAAGAGGCTGGGGTCTCAGGGATAGGCATGGTGGGGGACAATGTCTACAGTCACTGGGATACTTACTGGGTGCAGAGGCCATGGACCAGCAGACCTATATGGCTCAGAGTGGTCCATGGGGACCTTGAAGGCCAGACAAGGACCAAGAGGGAGTTCTGGGGATGCTGGTGTCTCCCTCAGCTGCCAGCCATAGTCGTTGCTTTTCCCTCAGAGCTCTGAGGCTGCATTGGTGGGGGAGAGAGCACCACGTGTTCCCACATTCACTTCTGGATCCGCATAGCACCTCCTCTGCACCCAAAGGTGGGAATGTGAGACGGCCGGATTTAGGACCTCTCCAGGGCTGTGCGGGGTCCAGAGGCTTGGCTCCATTCCCACCCCCGTGCCCCCACCCCCAGCATTAGGAGCCTTCCAGAATCAGGAGCAGTTGGGCCAGGTCGGGATCTGGGGCCTGGATGGTACCCTCCACAGCTCCTGGAAGACTCAGTGCCTCCTGTCCTGGGCAAGGGTGTGGAGAATAGAGGCAGCTGTGCGCCTGTCTGCCTACCCATTCCTCCAGATGGAGCCTGCGGCAGAGGCAGCCTATGCCAGCCTCCTCTATGAGCCACCGTGGCCCAGGGAGGCTATGCCAGCTCTGTGCAGGGATGGAGCTGGCTTCTCCTGGCCAGCCTGAGGTCATGCCTGCCTGGCAGCCTAGGCACAGTATTTGTGGCATACAGAGCACGGTCCCTGGGATTTCAGGGACACCTCAAGCCGGTCCTGGAAGAGATCAGTGCAGAGGGCATTGTTCCTATTAAAAGCCTTCCTGGGTATGTGACAGTCCCCCTGGGCTCAGCCTTGTGAGCTCCTTGAAGAGCTTCTTCTATAGAACCCTGCAAGAAAACAATGCTTGGTCAGGTAGTCCTCACTTAGCCGATATTGAAAGGTCGAATGGGGCCTAGAGAGGAAGAGTGACTTGACCAAGGTCACAAAGCAGCTGAGTGGGAGAGTCAGCACTAATGTACCCAGGTCTTCTACCTCTTGCTCTGGGGCTCTTGCAGCCCAGATGCTGGCTTCCCTGCTGCGGTGGCTGTGCCATAGACAAGACTCTGCCGGGGGCTAGGCATTGTAACCTGAGGCTACCTGATCCCTTAGGAAGGGCCTTATGTTAGCCTCCAGCCCTTACCCTCAATAGATGAGCAGGAGAGGCCAGGGCTGAGAGAAAGGGCCGCCAGTGGCCCTGGGCCCTCTTGGAAGTGCAAAGAGCTGAGAGGATGGCAGGTACCCAGGGATGTTCTGGCCTGAGCCTCCAGGGGGCAACAGAGAGGGTTTTTCTGACTTCAGGCTGCCGTGGGAAGTGCTTTTAGCACCAGCCCAGACTTCTCTAAGGGCCCCTTTCTGGGCTTCCCTGTCCCATTTGTTAAAAGGGGATGGTCACCTCGGCTGAGTGCAGTGGTGCTTGCCTGTAATCCCCACACTTTGGGAAGCCAAGGCATGCGGATCACAAGGTCAAGAGATCGGGACTATCCTGGCCAACATGGTGAAACCCTGTCTCTACTAAAAATACAAAAATTAGCTGGGCGTGGTGGTGTGCACCTGTAGTCTCAGCCACTCGGGAGGCTGAAGCAGGAGAATTGCTTGAACTTGGGAGGTAGAGGATGCAGTGAGCCGAGATCGCACAACTGCACTCCAGCCTGGGTGACAGAGCAAGACTCTGTCTCAAAAAAAAGAAAAAAAAAAGCCGGTGGTAGGGTGGGGGAGGAATGCCTGGAGAGTAGTACCAATGATTGCACAATCAAAGCGACGGCATTTATTGAACACTTACTGTAAACCATGTACTTCAAGAAGTGCTTTGAGTCATTTCACAGGATCCCTATCAGATAGGTATGATTAATTATCTACTTTTTACGGAGGAGAAACTGAGGCTCAGAGAGGTTATATCACCTGCCTAAAGTTACACCGCTGGCACGTGTGGGGCAGTCTGAGTCCAGAGTCTTTCTTTCTACCATGACATTTACTGGGGGCAGTGTCTGGAAGTACCAGCCTGGTGTCTAGCAGAACCAGGCAATTCCTTGGTAGGCCAAGGCCGGTCCAGGTGGAGAGGTGTGTGTGTCTGGCGAGGCAAGGGTGGCTTTGTGGGCTGAATATTACTATGGTCCTGAGGGATAGGGGCAGATCAGTACTGACTAGGAGCTCTCAGGGAAGGATCAGCCTTGGCCTTCTGCTTCCTGGCCAGGATCCCCCAGAAGTGGGGAAGCACCAGACTCTCTGCCCCCATTGGCTTTTAGGGAATATGGGCTGGCCCTGGACACATCCCAAGACCCCAGTAGGGACTGGGCTAAGGAGGCCCTGTGGGCAGGGAGCTGAGCCTGGGTGGATGGGTGTGGGTGGAACAGGCTGGCACTGCTTGCTTTGTGGGCTGGAGGCTTGTGGATCAGAATAGTAACAGCTAACATTTATTGAGCATTTATTATATGCCAAGCCCAGTTTTAAGGGCTTCCTTGTAGAACTCATATGTTCTTCACAAAGCCCTATGAGGTGCAGATGAGGTATAGGAGTTATTATTATTCCCATTTTACAGATTGAGGGAGCTGCAGCTTAGACAGTTGTTCAAGGTCAAACAGCTTGGTTGTTGGGGCATCAGGATTCAAACCTAGGCAGTGCGGGTTAGAGCCATGTTCCTGGGGGCCATGCCTGTAGTTTCTCAGAGGCCATACTCCGTTTTCTTCAAGCTGAAGTAGTCACTTAGTTAGATGTATCCCTCTCCTCAAAGGCCTCCTGGTCTAGCTGGGAGAGATGCAGACATGACACATTGAAAGTAAAGAATATGCCATTGCATATGCTCAGCATGGATTCCTATTTTGGTGCTCAGGGAAGTCTTCAAGAAGAGGGGGGCCTTTGAGCTGGGCACTGAAGGCCAAGTCGGATTTCAATGGTTGAAGGGGGAAGGGTACTCACTTCCCCAGGTCAGAGGGGAAGGAAATAGGAATGCCTCTGAAGAAGAGTGGGTAGGCTGGTGTGCATAGAACAGATAGTGTGTGTGGCAGGGTGTGAGCTGGGAGGTGACTCAGAAAGTCAGCTTGTATTTGGGTTTTTGATGATGCTCTGGAATCCACCAAACATAGGCTCTAGTCACAGTACTGCCTTGTACTAGCCATGTGACCTTGAGCACATCACTCAGCTGGCCTGCGCCTCAGTTTCCTCATTTGTAAAATGTAGATAAACATGCCTGTCTCGTAGAGACCACGTCGTGGTTGTTACATAAAGCACCTAAGTGTAATGCTAACACATTGCAGGAACTCAGTAAACATGACTTCTCTCCCCGTTCTGTCTGTCTTAAATGTCAAGCCAAGGTGTTTCAACTTGACTTGAGCCTGGAGGCTCTAGGAACCTTTGCAGGATTTCGGTCTGCTGAGGAGCATGTCAGTACTGTGTTTTGGGAAGGTCCCTTTGTACAGGAGAGGATGGACTGTGACCTTACAGGGAGAAACCTTAACTGTGGGGACCTGGAGGGCTGGGGAGGGAGCAAGATTGGCACTCACTAAGGTGTCTCTCCAGTAGCGGGTGGCCAGTTTGGAGAAGGAGGAGCTTGGAGTGGGTAAGGCCACAGGGGTCAGGAATTCCTTCTGAGGCCTGGTGAGTGTGAGAAGAAGAGCTGGTCTCCCTTCAGTCATCTGGAAGATTGGGCAGCATCTTTTTTTGCGCATCTGGCCTGTTTTTCTTTTGAATTATTTCTTTTGAATAAATCCCCATCAGAGCTTCCTCTATAATAGCAGCAAATTGGGACTAAGTGTCCAACAATAGGAAGAGGATGGAGAATGCTTTGGAACATCCACTGGATTAAATAATATGCAGTGGTGAACAGCCAGAGAAAAACTGTTTGCAGTGGATGGAGCTGTGCAATTCTAAAGCTCTTTTGCATCCTTGATTCATTTCGTGCTTATGACTGCCTTTTGACAGAGGTGGGGCCGGGGTTGTATCCCTGTGTGTGAAGAGAATGAAGCTAGACTCCAGTCTCCTTGAAGGCAGAGTTCACATTTTATTCATTGTTTAGTCACAGCATGTTGCTCAGTGGTTTGCAAATGCTTTTCTGAGGAAAGAATGAGTGAACTCATCAAGAGAGGGAAGTGACTTGATTAAGTTCACACAAGTTGTAAGACACAGTACCTGCCATATTCTTGCTATTTGCTACTTGCCACATTCTTCTCACTCACCACTCACTATCTTCCAGGGGAGTAGGACAGAGAGGTTTCCAGTGAGGACTTGGGACTTGCATAGAACAGGGCATAGGTCTTGTTTCTGTTTTTACTAGCTGTGGCATTGGCAAGTGAATTAATCTTTCTAAGCCTCAATTTACCCAGCTGTAATATGGATAGTCCAAGTACC